CTGGAGATGGGGGGGGGGGAAACAGAGGGAATCTCAGAGCATCCCCTCCCCCTTTCCCTGGGAAAAGAGGCCCCCATCTGCTGCAGATGGACATGTCCCCATCGCCTAGTTGATGTGCACCTGCCTACGCCAGGGCTGTTCATCCTTGGTGTGACAGAAGTGATGGGGGTAACATTATTTGGAAGAATCCCAGCTCTGCTCTGCGTAGCCTCCACGATCCCATAAAATCCTGGGGTAAGGCAGGGACTGAGTCGAGTCGCTACAAGTGCATTTATTTTTACTGGTCATGAAGCAAACACATGGGGTATCGTATGCAGAGTTTGATTTTAGCTTGGAGATGTGTGTGCGGAAAGCTTCCCCGTGACTACGACGAGGTTACCACACGTGAGGGAGATGTGGGAACCCATCCAGCCGTCCCGGCTCATCCTGCGAGCGGGGCTCCAGCCCTCACTGGTGGATTTGTGCCTTCGAAAAGCTTCCTCGCGCCTCGAAAACAAACAAAACTCTTTCGGGGCTTTCAAAGGGCTGTTTAAAGGAGCCCCGGGAGAATAACTGATTGTGGATTCAGAATGATGAAGTGGTTTGTGGAACGGTGAAATATAGAGGCAAATGCAGGAGAACTCCACATTGCAATTTGTCAGCTTTGCTAAACCCTGTAACGGATTATTCCCCCCCTCTGTCGCTTCTCACCTCTCCAATAGGAAATTAACTGATGCTATCACAAAAGAAATTGTTTTTGCCTCACAAAGTAAAATTGATACTATAAAAACCCGCCAGCAGTGTCTCCTCCTCCTTTTACATGAAGACAAATCCTTCCTGTCACCTACTGAAATGGAAAGATAAAGGCTGAACTTTAATAAAGAAGCTATAAGCACAAAGTGTAGAGGGAGTGAGCAGGCATGGCGGGGGGAACACGCCACGACAGCAGGTGTGATGCTGAGGGATACTGCAAGTGTCCAAAATACAACTACTGTGGCCAGTGCCTGCGTACACGTTTAATGCATGGTTATGTACAAGTTTGTGCCCCAGAACTCATGTCTCCAAGAGTTCGTGCTGGTTTTGGTACCGATCGTGTCTACCTTTACTCCTTTCAGGTTCTTAGGCTTGCTTGTTTGGACTTTTTAAATCTAATTAAACACACAGAGAGTTAAACATCAATTTGTTAGGTGATAACGGAACGCACAGGACATGGGATGTGTTAAAGAAATCTGAACATCGGCAGTCTCCTGCTGGATTGGCACTTCAGCATGAACTGCATTCGTTCTTTGTGGGATGCAGGAAACCTCTTCTGCCCAACCGTGGGGGTTTGGGGCAGAGCCCTGAGCTCTGAGCTGCCTTGAGGCAGGGCTGCCTGTTAGATGCTGGTAAGGGACAGTGCTGTTAGGTGGTTCCTTTGACTGGAGGTTTGCAGCTATCCCCATCCATCCTGCATGTTCCTCATCTACTCTTTTGTGGATAAACAATCACTTTGTTCTGGCATCAGCTCGGAGCTGTCAGCTAGTTTGTAAACTGCTGTCCTTTCTCCTTTCAGGGGATATCAGAAACCTGCTAAAGTGGATCAAACAGAATCTGTTGAAAGAACGACCAGAATTATTTATGCAAGGGGAATCTGTGTAAGTACAGGTGTTATGAATCCTCCTTGTGTTTCTCTGTTGATCCCCACGGTTTGGGATAGGTTTTTCCTGTTGGTTGCAAGAAGCAAGTTAATGACCATGAAAATACGGGCTTTGCTAAAGTGGTAATGGGAGGTGTCCCACACTATACCTCGCGCTGTTCCACGGAGAGCGTCTTTTGCAGCCCTCACCCCAAATCTTTAAACCTTAAATGTGAAGCAGAGCCACGTATACTTTCTCTCCGTTGTCACCTGGAGCAGCATAGCGCATGTATCCTCAATTCCAGGAGTTTTAGCAGGTCTGTCCATTCCCTGCTGACATCACTGGGACTGAAGCAGTCACTCAGAGAAATGCCAACAAATATTTCTTCTGGGAAATGTATTTTTATTGTCAAAACGGGGCCAACCTCGTGGAGAGGGGAAAAAAAAAAAGCCAAGAGAAATGGAGCAGAGTGAGCTGTGCAAGCCATCCCTGACTGCGGGGTGGCGCTGGGGGTGTTTAACATTCGTCACGGATCTTTGTGAGCTGAAGCGTGTGCCAGGTCCCCTGGTAACAGGAGAGACAATTGCAGGACACTGAAGATCAAAGAGGGGGAATCCCTTTGCCTGTAATCAGGGGCTTGGAGTGGATCCCGGGTGTTTACTGCCTTTGGTAGGGGCACCGGAATAGCTTTCCCTACCTTCACATCGAGAGCTCTGCACTCGACTGTAGTGTGTGGGTTTTAATTACCTGGCTTTTCTACATCTTACGGAAATGTCATCTCGGAGCATCCTCAGGAATGGTGCATTTTGATTCAAATGAGCTCTGGGATTGCTCCTGCCTCCCCTTTATTTGATCTAGAAAGGGCATGGACCGTACCTGTTTCCACCTCCATGCTAGGATTCCTTTTTCTCTTTGGCTTTATAGGCAGACAGCTTGTGATCTGTGCTGTAACATCCCTTGTTCTTAACTATTTGTGAAGCTTTTTAGCAGCCCTGTATCCTAATTATTTCTCTCTCTTCTGCAGGAGACCAGGAATTTTGGTGCTCATCAACGACGCAGACTGGGAACTAATGGTCTGTACTCCTTCAGTTTGACTTTCTTTGTTGAAAATATTGCTCTGTCTGTTCTGTGGTTGCTCTCAGAGAAGCTATTTCTGATTCTTGCCCCAAGCGAAGCATCTCATATTTGAGGGGGAAGAGGCAGGCTGGGATCTCTCTCCCTGTACTGTGGCTGTTCCGAAGCCTGGAGCCTTTCTCTAACCTGCTGAGTCTCATCAGCCAGCCAGCGTCTGAAGAGAGATCACCCGTATTCCCTGGCCTCTGGCAACGGGCTTCGCACCTCTGGCTGCTAGCAGGTCTCCCCCACGCATGGGGTAACAACTTAGCGGGTACCAGGCAGCTTCACAGCCCCAAGCAGACCCCCTTCACTAGAGTAAGGTGGTGCCGTAGCAGGTGAAGGCAGCCCTGGGGAGATTTCTGCCCAAACAGGCAACTGGTAAATATCTTCTCTTTTCAGCCCACTGTAGTGCTCAGGCGACAAACAGCCCCTAACTATTTTCCTGCCTCAGGCAACCGCCTGTTCTGTCAAAACCCTGGTCCAGAAAGCGGTGTGGGAAAATGAACGTCAGCTCCTTGTCTGATCTCTCACCTTTGTTTCTGTTAGGATGAAAACATCAGTCTATCGCCTTCTGCTCTCCCTAACACTCACCATCTTTTTATGCGCTGTTTTCTCTTTGCAGCTGGTATTTGGAAATGACATTTAAACCATTTTTCATTTTTTTTCTTGGCCTGCAGGGTGAGCTGGATTATAAACTCCAGGACCAGGATAACGTGCTTTTCATCTCGACATTGCACGGCGGGTGAACTCCTGGAAAAACAAGAGGATGAAAATCCAAATCCCTGGGCAAAAAACCCAAACCCAAACTTAAACCCACCCAAACCTCTCTTGAACTGCCAGTGCCCGGTCTCTGCATCTTCCCACTGCGTTCACTTGTTACTAGACATCCAAATAAAGCCCCGCCATCACGCGGCCTGCTGTCCACCACAACAGCGTCCATCTTTTTGGTCCTCATTTCACCTCTCCTGACTGCACTTCCAGGTACCCTAACGAGCAGAGAGCTGCAGCGTGTGCGACTTTGTTTTTCCATGATGGGAGGAAGAGGGGTGCTGAACCTCGAGTAGGATGGTGTGTCTTCGCAGGCAATGAGGCGTTCTGGGGGAGTTGTGCCTGCTTTGGGGCAAGGCTGGGGTGCCTCTGTCTTGGTGCTGGGAACTGGGATTGGTACAGTCTGCGCATGAGCCACGGGAAGGGCGAGACATGAAGTGCGAGGAAACAAAAGGTGACTTTACTAGTTTTTTTCTGAGGTGGCAGACATTACAGCTTCAGAGCCCTCTGTAGTGGCTTTCTACTTGTCATGGTATTTATTTATGGGAAGTAGGAGAGAAATAGGTTTTTTTGGTTTTGTTTTTCTGATGCCTTATGCCTCTTTCATACCTGAGCTGAGGCAGGGTGAAGTACTAGCCCACAAACAATGTCAATTTATAACCATTTGGTTGGAGGGGAAACAAACCCGTGCCCGGCCTGATTCAGCACGGAGTGATAAGGGCAGCAAATTATCTTTCTGTCACCACGATGGACAGAAGTGATCAGCCTCCCTTGCGTTCTGTGCAGGTGGGGAGCGGTGGGGAGCTGCGTCGCTGCAGCCTGGCCGGGGAAGGGCTGGGGCTGGAGACGAACGGTTAAAGCACGGAGACCCGGGAAAGAAAGTCAGTGGTTTTTAACCCTTTCCATCAGTGGGAGGGGGAGGCTTCTTACTGCGCACCCTGAGGAAGTCCTGTGGGCGCAGCGGAAGTGGGTGTGCGCGGCTCTGCTAGGGCACGGACGCTGTTCGGCTTCCAGAAGTTTCCTCGGACAGACGGACTGGCCTGCCTGCCAGCCAGGAGGCCACGGCGAGAGCAAAGGGAAGGGATCAGAGAGGATAGCGTTGGCGCCAACAGGTCTGAAACGTGCTGCGCAAGCTTCTAGGAGTGTCCGACCCAGATTGTCCTTCCTGCGTTCCCCCCTGCCCTGCTCACCTGCATTTCGGCACGGCTCCGGCAGCACGTGGTGGTCCCCGGCGGCAGCATTCCTGCCCGAGCAGCGGCTCTCCCAGGGCAGAGGGCTCGCCAGTGCTGTAAGCTCAGTCGGTGCACATCTCGGAGCTGATCTGCACCATGTACTGCTCGCCCTGTCCTCCATCTCTGGGAGCTGCCGAGGAGGAGCTGGGAGGCGGTGAGCAGTGCAGTGCACCAGCTCCTGCTCGGGCAGCCTGGCCTGACACCGGGAGTGCTCCGTACAAGGAGCCTTTCCCGTCCTGCGCCTGACAGAGGAGTTACTCTGTCTGACGCGGAGGGAGTGCCAAAGAGTAATTCCCCTGTCTGACTTCTCTGGTGACTCCTCTCTCACATTTACCCCACCGCAACCTGCGTAACTAAAAGCACCCACGGACTATGATGCTGCTGCACCTGAGAAACCCTAACTTCAAGCCCACTGCTGGTAACGAACTGATATTCAGCCTTTTCCAAATCCAGCCGCAGCGACTCGAGTCCAGCTTGCGCTGTTTGTAAATGACACGGACGGGCCAAAGGCTCTTCTCTGTCCTGAGTTCACGGCCGTAAGCTTTGCTGGGCCGGGGGAGCGGAGGGGGGATTCCAGGTGACTGTAGGAGCTGGCTGAAAAACAACGGACCTGTGTGGCGTGCAGCTTGAAACGGACTTAAACCCAAGTGGGAAAAGGCAGGTTCGTCTTCACCGCTGCTGCCCGCCCTGCCTCTACACTGCGTTTTTGCCTTAGGCTGGGCTTCTCTGTTCTTATCCCCCCCAGCTGTTTGCTGAGTTCCTTCCCCGGGAGGTGTGATTCCCCTCGCTAGCACAGGTAGACCCAGATGGCTTAGCTCCTGCTGTAGTAAAAGCTGCCAATCATTGCTAAAAAAAAAAGCTAGAAATGGGAAGATGAGGGAAACCAGGGGAGGGGAGAAGAGGGGTACGGCAAAATCCTGTAACAACAAAAAAAAAAAGTTTCTGAAATAAAAGCCTTTTAAAACGTTCTCTGCCTCCAGCTTTGTCCTAGATAGGCTCTTGGTGAAATTTTGCTCGGATCTTGTAATGCTTCCCTCCTCCTCCTGGGTTTCCTTGGCAGCCCCGGCCGAGTCGCTTGGCTTGTGGAGTCATAAAGCCTCTCTGTTACAAGCCTTCCTCCCGGCCGGGGTTT